ACAAATGAAGGAAGGTTTTCAACTCGTCCTTCAAGATGAGCTTATTCTGGGCCAATTTCTCTTTCATGTTTCTCAGGTAGGTTGCTGGAAGAAAGCATAGTGTGGTGGCCGTCACTCAGGCTGACTGGGACTGTCAGGAGTCTGACCTCAGGGAGAAGGGGAAGCTGGATTCTGGCACACTGCAAAGAGGCACTGAGAGAGGCTCCCATCACTGACTAGTGTCCTTAAGAGCAGTATCACAGAAGGTCTATGAAGCAAACCATCTGTGCTACAGGAGCACAGGATGGGGGCCCACTCAAAACTTTCTAACATACAATCTTTGAGGGTAAAAACACAGGAATATGCAATTTTGACTACCTGGGTGATCCTTCTGCACACTAAAGTTTTAAGAACTATGTCCCAGAGGCTTAGTTCAAAAAAGTATCGACAGGTGACCCATTAGGAAAAAAAAAAAAAAAAAAAAAAAAATGCAACCAAGACATCTAAACCAACAATTGGCAGGGTATCTAGCAGGAAAACTGAAAGGAAAATGTGTACTGAAGATGGGTTTGCCCCAGTGGTTGACCTACACGATTTAGCAACATTTCAAGTCTCTTGCACTTGGTTCAACTCTACCTTTCATTTCTCTTGCTCTCCCTACTCAGTTATTAGACAGCATGACACAGTACTACATAATGCACACGGTAAAAAAAACCCATCCTCTCAACAGCAGCAAACTCTCTTGGTAACAGAATCATTTCAAAATGCTTATACTTATCTCTGTCCCGTCTTGTATCTGATCAACTGTGGAGACAGTCAAACACCAAAAGGAAACACTGCTTCTTGGCATTAGGAAGGGATCAGATTCTCAGCAGAATGTGGGGTGAGATGCAAGCCCAGCACTAAAGAAGCATCTGCTTTCTAGAAGGCAGAGCTGTTCTCAGTATCAAGAGCTGCCAAGAAAAGTCTACGGGTTTTGCTCCAAGGCCCAGAGCTTTGAAGGAAGGCTGCTTAAAGGAATGGCACAATATGTATTAAAACACAAGACTGGGAAGCTGAGGCAGACACTGTTCTCAATTTAAAGAAAAGAAGGCCCACCTGGTTTAAGTTAATACTGTGGACCATCCAATCTTTATTTGCAGAGCCAGGTCATGGTTAAAGGTTTCAGAGGTGGAGAGGCCCAGGCTATAAGCTAGGCTCTGCTACTTGCATGCTATGGGGAGACCCTTGTCTGTTAGACTTGATTCCACGTGTAAAGTGAGAATCGTGAGAGCTACCTCATGGGGTATCCTGACATAATGTACTTTAAGCATTTTTAGCACAGGGCCTACCATATAGTAATTGCCAGTAAATCATTTTTTGTTCTCATTTTCATTCCATCACTTATCAGATTTAAGAGAATTTATACTATTAACTGTTTCTAAACAATTTCTAATCTAAATAATTCTAATGGAACGACTTACGCTTTTCAATAAGTCTTAAGAACTCAAAATGTCAACAGTATAATTTGCACTTGCAAACAAATAATCAAGATTTAAGTGTTCGTGAACAACACAAGGAAGGCTAAGGCAGGGTTCCCGTCCTGAAAGAACTTAATCTATTTGAAAAAACATGACACAGTTACGCAAAGCTATCTGAAAACAATGATTGAGGGGCACATGAGTGGCTCAGTCGGTTAAGCGTCCGACTTCTGCTCAGGTTATGATCTCACGGTTTGTGAGTCCAAGCCCCGTGTCAGGCTCTGTGCTGACAGCTCTGAGCCTGGAGCCTGCTGTGGATTCTGTGTCTCCTTCTCTGCCCCTCCCCTCACTCGCAATCTGTCTCTCTCACTCAAAAATAATAAACATTAAAAATTTTTTTTTGGAAACAATGACTGAGGGAGTGACAGGTGAGCAACTACATAAATAGAAAGAAATCAGGGTGGCAGAAATAGACCAGGTTTGGCAGATGTGGAAAGGTACCAGAAAGGAAGTGGCTGGATAGGGTTGGAGAAACTCAGGAGAGGGTATCATTCTTGGTATAAAAATCAGCATGAACAATAGCATAGAACTGGGCACAGGGGAAGGTGGTGAGGGAAGAACTGTGATTACATTAACAGGAAATCATACTGGACTCCATAAAGGGTAAGGGGCCCATTATGGAGGAGCTGGGAAGCTGGTGGCAGTGCGTGGGTGGCTGTGTGTGTGTGGGGGGGAAGTACACAATATGGTATAGGACAGAGGACCACTGTCGGTTCTTATAATGAAGAAATGTTAACAGGATTTTTATAAATATCAATCTGACCATGGAGTAGATAGATTGGCACTCATTACATTAACTGCCTTTCAGAACATATGCTCAATTGTGACAGCTTTAGAAACACTACAACAATTGGATGTAACTAAAAAATGACATGAGGCCCTAACTGCCAACTTCACAAAGCTCCAAAAGTGATGGGTAAAAAGAAGACTGAAGTAAAATCCAGGCTGAGGAAAATCAGAAGTAAAATGTCCGCTGGAGATTAACATATTCTCCCTCACTCTGAAGGCTTACCTACTCATTCCATAGGTGGTATAATGTATATGAATAGAAAAGTGGTGAGGAAAAACTGATTTCTGGAGGGCTAGAAGCGGTGTTTATTACGTGCCCATAAACATTTGACAGTGAGAGGAAGGAGATCTGAGAAATTTAGTAGGAACAAACTAAACTGTTATTAACAAAGGGAAGTCTTGTTATGCTTATCAAGGAATTTAAAGTACCGGAAAAAATGTGGAGAGAGGGAATGAATTCAACAAGAGTTCTCAGATGCTGACAGGAATAAGAACTAGGATAGTAGTGTGTTTTCAGCTTTTTGTAATAAAAATTTTCAAACATACCCCAAAACAGAAAGAGAACAGTATAATGACCTCTCATGTGCCCATCGCCTGGGTTCCAAAATGAACAATATTTTGCTAATTAAAAAAAAAAAAAAAAGTTTTACCCTATTGACTTTTTTGCAGAGTAGAAAAATATGAAAATGCATGCCACAAGATGGTTTTGTTTCACTGTGTTTCATTTGTGTATAGATATGTATGTGTACAGTGGGGATGCTATGCAAAATGTACTTTTTACTCAGAGGTGTATCAAAAAATGTTAAAGCCAGTCATCTTGAGCAGTTCTTCTCAGACCTTACTGTGCATATTAATAGTCTGGGCTTTAAGTTGGGCATCTCTATGAAACTCCCAGTTGCTGCTAATCTTTGACCCTTAGTTTAGGTGGCAGGGATCTGAGGGAACTCGTTCCAACACGAGTTTTAGTATTTCTCTGGGATCCTGGGAAAAGTGACAAGAGGAGAGCTGTAGGCTCTGTAGTAGCAGAAAGTGAGATGAAAAGTACATTTAAGAGTAGACTAGGAGGGGCGCCTGGGTGGCGCAGTCGGTTGGGCGTCCGACTTCAGCCAGGTCACGATCTCATGGTCCGTGAGTTCGAGCCCCGCGTCGGGCTCTGGGCTGATGGCTCGGAGCCTGGAGCCTGTTTCCGATTCTGTGTCTCCCTCTCTCTCTGCCCCTCCCCCATTCATGCTCTGTCTCTCTCTGTCCCAAAAATAAATAAACGTTGAAAATAAAAAAAATTAAAAAAAAAAAAAAAGAGTAGACTAGGAAATCAAGAATAAACTATGTCAATCTCTTCTCGGACATAAGGTCATTAGAGGAGACCAAACGGATAAAGACAAAAAAAAAAAAAAAAAACCTGAATGACACATCGATGGAAGAACCAACAAAATAGATTCAATTACCTTTAGTACCAGGAAGATGATTTGCAATAACCACCTTCTTACGCTGAAATTCTTTTAATTTCACAACATTATCTGTAAGTAGATATCTTTTAGCTACAAATAAAAGAAAAAAGCAAAATCGTTTTAATTCTTTTATAGTTAGTGAAGAACATGAATAGAGGTTGATTGTCTCTGGGGCGCCTGGTGGCTTAGTTAAGCCTCCGACTTCACTCAGGTTATGATCTCACAGTTAGAGCTCCACCTCGGGCTCACGGCTGTCAGTACAGAGCCTTCTTCGGATCCTCTCTCCCCCTCTCTCTCTGCCCTTCCCCTGCGTGTGCTCTCTCTCAAAAATAAATAAAACATTAAAAATATTTTTTAAAAAAAGTGTTGTCTATTTATGAGAAGGCAGTCCAGAGAAGTGGTTACAGTAGGAATATACTGTTGTGCTGCCTGAGGGCAAATCCCTCCTCTACCAGATTCCTCTGACCTTGGGCTAATTACTTGGCCTTGCTGTTACCATCTTTGTAAACCTATAAAAGAATGGTACCTCTCTCATTGGGTGCTTTCAAGAGAAAAGGAATATACTTAAAATGCAGAGTAATAGCTGACACTAAGTGTCAAATATTTTATTATCACTCACCAGTATAATGGAATTTAATCATTCCCGTAAAGCTATTAATGGACAATCTTACAAATGAAGACACCTGCTCAAGGTCTTTTAGACTGTTAGCTCTCCAGTTGGGACACCAAACTCAGTCTAAGACCTCGACTCCCAAACTTTGCAGAACAGTACACCCAAGGGGGAGAGGGATTTCCAGACAACAGCGTCGCCCCATCTGAAGGACTACTATAGCCCCCAGCTCAAGACCCCAGCCTGGCTGTCCTCTGGTTCCCAGCAAAGGGGCTTCGACGACACCGAAGGGCCAGTGCTGCACACGCGCGCAACCAAAGGGCACAAGAGCATAGGCTGCTCCAGGCCAGTGAGCGACTGTGGCGCTTTTATTTCCCCCAAAAGCGATGCCTGCTAAGGTGTCAATCTCCCTTCTGTCCCATTCCTCCCCTCCTTCACGACCAGAAGCCCGCGGATACCTCCGAGAGGGCAGCGGCAGCATGTGGAGCCTGAGCCTCCCACCCCGGGAGACACGGAACTCTGCAGCGTAAACAGCAAAACGTGACCCGGCCGCCGAACTGCGGCAGCCATGTTATCCTGGGCCGCAACAACTACGCGCGCCGGGGAAGGGGGCGGAGCATCAGCCTGTGACCCCACCCCTTCCTTTCCCTCAACCCCTGGGCGTTCTTCCACTTGGTATGCTCCAAGATGGCAGCCCCCATAGCGAGGCGCTGGTTTCTTCTGGCCCGGAGAGTGCCTCTGCCTCCAATCTCCCTGGCAGGTTTGTGGCTGCTTTCCTTTTGTGGGGTACTTCATTAGGCACCTGAACACTCTTCCTTAAGTAAAGGGAGCTGTGGGTTTTCATCAGGACAGGAAAGGCTTCTGGGTTCTAGTTGCTAGAGAAACCGTTTGGAGCGTTGGGTAGCACAGAAGGGGGAGGTAAGGCCCCCGACCTGTATGCTTCCCTAGAATAGTGCCTGCCAGCCCAAAAGTGCGAAGAGTAGAGGAAGTCATGGCATGAGGGCTCTTACCTGTGATTTGCAGGGTTTGTGTTAGGGTGGTCGTCTCTTCACTGACCATGAAGAGCCCAAATGTGCCCACCCCAGAGGTAGAACTTTTCCTCCCCTCTTAAGTGTTCTTGGAGGGGCGTCGAAAACCTCACCACCTCACACTTGACCAGACCTTTCGTTTCCACATGGGATAAGTATTTCAGTACTAATTTCGCATTACTTAATGATCTGGGGCACAACTTTTGAATGACATTTCTATGCCACAGTTTTCCATGTGTAGAGACAATAGGCACTTCTGAAGTACCTTTGACCTTTGAACAAGTCAGGGATTAGGGACATGATACCAGGCAGTTGAAAATTTGTGTTTAAGTTTTGACTCCTCCCTTACCCATCACAGTCCATTAACACTTTTTTATGTCTTATGCAATTTTATACTGTATTCTTAACAGTATGATTAAATGACTAAAATGCAGTAATCACAGTTGATGTTTCCAACATACCTCCTCTAACTCCTGTTAAAAACCAGCACATACACTGTTGTTCACACTTGTTTAGCAACAGCCATTAACTATGGGCATGAAACCTCATTGATAGCCACCAGGTTTTCTGAGAATTAATTGGTTGACCTGGCAGGTGAAAGTGTTTAGTGCCGCATGTTAAGTAAAGTATGTACAGTACCTGGCATCTCATTAAGAATTAGCTGCTGTACCTATTTGCTAGCATGTTTAATTATGGTGGTTACTAAATGCTTTTCAATTTAAACAAGACCTTGAATTGCTTATCAGGGAGACCATCATGGTTGCATTGTGTTGGGGGCAATCATTCTGATAAGGGAATGGAAATTAGGTAAGGGTGACTTACAAGAATTTTCAGTTAGCATTTGTTCTTAAACTGGTGAACGTGTAATTTACACCTGTGTTCTTCCATTGTGGTAGCTACTAGCTACTTGTGGCTATTGAGATTAAATTCAATTTTAGTCACACATTTTTTAAATGTTTAGTAGGGACCTATGCTTGGTGGCTACAGTTGTATAGCTTAGAACATTCCCATCATTATAGGAAGTTCTATTGAATAAGCACTAGGTTAGACCATAGAAGAAAGGAGTCTTGAAACGAGTAACTGGAAACTATAAGGCAAGTAATAGAATTATGTAGGAACTTCAGTCAGGAAAGACATACTATGTGATTTCACTCCTGTGTGCAATTTAAGATAGAAAAAAAATATCAGCATAGGGGAAGGGAAAAAAAAAGAGGGAAGCAAACTGTAAGAGACTCTTAACTAGAGAGAACAAACCGGGTTCACGGAGGGAGGCGAGTGCAGATGGGCTACATGGGTGATGGGTATCAAGGAGGGTACTTGTGATGAACACTGGGTGTTTTAAGTGATCACTAAATTCTACACCTGAAACCAATTTTACTCTATATGTTAACTAAGAATTTAAATAAAAACTTGAAATAAAAAAGTACCTAAGATAGTGCATTATAACCCATTCAGGATTTGAAAATGCTGATAAGGAGCTTGACTATTAAGTCATCCAAATATTTTGAGCCATTACAGGGTAAGAGAGGAAAAAAATATACTTAGTACAAATTAGAAAAGTGATTTAAATACCTGAAGAGGGGAGTACCTGGGTGGCTCAGTCAGTTAAACATCTGAATCTTGGTTTTGGCTTGGGGATGTGATCTCACAAACCGTGACATCGAGCCACACATTGGGCCCTGTACTGACTCTGCAGAGCCTGCTTGGGATTCTCCCTCTCTCTCTGTCCATCTGCCCCTGCCCTCACATAAATAAGCTTTAAAAAAAAAAGTATTTTAAAAATAAATAACACATGAATAGGGTAGAGAAAAGAAATTTACTGGGTACCTACTACACAGTGAACATTAAACACATAATGTGCCCTCATTTAAACTGATCAAGGTAGGCGCTGTCTTTTGTATCATGAAAGGAGCTCAGCTTGTGCAACTTGCCCCCATTTCATACCATTTCTTAGCAAGCCAAGGATTCCAACTTAAGATTTTGTGACTCTAAAAGGCTGTCTGTATCGACAGTCACACTGCTTTTCTTTGGATGGTAAACATGTTTGGAGACATTGGTCTAAAGGCCAAAGTAACTACAAAATGACTAAGAATATAGATACAGCCAATCACTTTCCACTAAACGTTGAGATTCTGGTCCTTGGAGGTACCTTTTTAGGATTAAATGGAGAAATTACTTCTTATAGTGGATAGTTATTTTAGAGAATATGGTTGCCACCAAAGTTAACTGGCTGAAGGATAATTAAGTTCAAGAAAGGTTTGTAAATACTGCTGGGTGGCCTATTCAGAGTGGAATTTATCAGACTCAGACACCTAAACCTAAACCTGTGAGGCTCTTACTGTCTTTAAAAGGCTTACAGAAACATTCTTTAAAGAATGTTTGTTTTAAGGTGCACTGATTTCCTATTGTAGTTTTAACAAATTATTACAAATAAAGTGGTATAAAACAATACAACTATTACAGTTCTGTAGGTCACAAGTCTGACCAGAGTGTCTTGCTATGTGGAAATCAGGGTGTTGAAAGGGACAGGTTCCTTGCAAATACTGTAAGGGACAATCTGTTTCCAGGTCTTGTCCCTCTTCATGAAACCACTTGAAATCCTTGGCTGATGCTCCCCTTTTTCAAATACATTTAACACGAGTAAGAGCAAGTCACGTCTTTACATCACTCCATCCTTCATTCATCTCGGTATCTGTCTTTTCCACTTTTAAAGACCTTGTGATTACACTGGGCCCACCTGGATAAGCCGATATAGTCGCCTCATTTTAAGATCAGATGATTTGTGATCTTAATTCTATCTGTAACCTTAATCCCCCTTAGCTATTACCCTAACATATTCGTAGGTTTGGGAGAGTAAGACATGGACATCTTTTGGAGGGACATGATTCTGCCTACCAAATTTGGCCACACATTTCTACATTTATTATTTGTTTCTCTTGGTCTAGGAAAGTTTTCTATTTGCTAAATTTAAATTCTTCATCCTTATACCCTTATCCTTTTGTTCTACACTCAATGGAGATGGAAAGTGATTACTTTCTTAAAAAGCAAACATTAAATAGTTCATATATATAAATAGTTCATATATAGTAGTTCAGCTTACCTTTTGTAGATTTACTAGTCCTTATTTGTTTTTTTGTTTTCAGTTCATGTGATGCCCTTGAACAACTGCACACAAAGGGCGTTCTTGAACTCCTCTACCTTTCCCCACTCTGACTACCCCTACTTTTTGTCTCATCTCCCAATTCGAAATTCTTCATTGACCTAGATAATTGTCTTTTCTGACTCCAGAATGGGGGGGGGGTATTTTTTATGCTAGAATGAAGCATATTCTAGAAAAATAAATAGAGAATAAGAAATTATAATAATAAGACAATAAGTCACTGGTATCCTTAAGTGTATAGCTTAACAGTCCTATCCTTAGCTCTTGCTCACATCGAGAAGGGCTGTTCCTGTTTCTGACAGAAAGGAGAGACCTTCCTGGTTTAAAAAAAATTTTTTTGAATGTTTATTTTTGAGAGAGAGAGAGAGCAAGAGTGAGTGGGGGAGGGGTGGAGAGAGGGAGAGGAGACACAGAATCTGAAGCAGGCTCCAGGCTCTGCACTGTCAGCACAGAGCCTGATGCGGGGCTCGGATCCATGAACCGTGAGATCATGACTTGAGCCAAAGTTGGACACCCAACCATCTGAGCCACCCAGGCAACCCTGTCCTTTCACTTTCTTAATGGTGTCCTTTGAAACATAAAAGCTTCTAGTTTTGTTTAAGTTTATGCTCATTCTTTCTCATTCATTCCTTGAACTCCTGTCTATGAGCATTGCCATATGTTAGTCATTGCGCCAGGTGCCCTGAATGCAGCTGTGCCCTCTAGTGAGTTACCTCAAATCTGGCTTGTTAGGTTTTTCTTATTCATAACTAGGGTGCTAGATTACTGGGCAGGATACTCTGCTTTAGGTGAAGTTAGGGTAAATGTGCTGATCCAAGTCAGATGGAAATGTTTTTAGGACTAGCGATTATAAAGCATTCAATTTGTGAGTTAAGCAATAGTTCAGCAAGTATTTGGGTTCTGAGGAGTTCTAGGGCTCACCTATGCTATAATTTAGGGAGAACAAGTGGCTTCCAGTCCTAAACTTACAGGAACAAAATTACTAGCATTCTTACCCATTACAGGAACAAAATTACTAGCATTCTTACCCATAACCTTATTGTAGACATTGTCAATTTTTTCTACATCTTCTACTTGGCAGATGTTGAATGCATGTTGTCATGTACTGAATTATGAACTGGGCAATATTGGTTAGAGTATTGTACAAGAATCTTTACATAATCTAGTACATTGAAAATAGGACAAAGATATCTTTAATAAGACATATAAACTGAACTTGTTGTGAAACCACACCTGTTGATAATTGACTTTTTCTTCAGGTAAAAGATGCCTCCTTTCTGCAGCATATGTGGACAGCCACAAATGGGAAGCAAGAGAAAAAGAACATTGTCACCTTGGTAGGTACCTATTAGGCTGTTATATAGGTCAAGTCAATCACTCTATATTTACCATCATGTTCATATATTTATGAAATGATGCTCTTATGATCCCATTCAGATAAGCACATTTTAAGTCTTAAAAAGAATTAGACTGTAACTTCACACATGGCAAAATCATTTTTGCTATCTTGCAAATTTCTTTTTAATTTTTGCCTTGATGATTAGTGTCCCTAAATTATGTAAATGACTCTTTCTTGTTTTTTGCCCACTTTTGTCATATAGTTACCATGCAGCTTGTCTCTGTTTTACATTATCTGCAGAGAAAAATATTTTTTATATTTTCATCCTTTTTTATTGTTATTTCTTAACTTGTGGTCTTCAGAGTTGTTTCTGACTCTTTTCTATTTTATTTATTTCCCTTTCCCTGTTCTTTAGGTCATATTACACAGATAGCAGCCTTTCTTTTCTAAAATAACAAAGCCTGGAGAAAATCACTGATCATATGAGCACTTTGTAGAAATATAAATACTTCATATATGTAATATGTATTATGCATAACATCAATAGAACATTAATAAAGTCAGACAATTAAAAAAGGGAGGGGGCACCTGGGTGGCTCAGTCATTCAAGCACCCGACTCTTGATTTTGGCTTAGTTCACAACCTCATGGTTTGTGGCATTGAGCCCTGTGCTTGGGATTCTCTCTCTCCCTCTCTCTCTGCCCCTCCCCTGCTTGCTATGTCTCAAAATAAATCAATAAACTTAAAAAAAATAATAAAGTCAGACAATTGGTGATAGTTTTGTGGGATTGATTTAATATTTTGTCAGTTCCAGTGCTGATCTAATCTTCTCACTCAGATTTCTTTGTCTGCTTTTTTGGGCTTATGTTAAAGAATAAAGTCCCCCTCTGTTTATGGATTCTTCTCATAACAGGGGTCTGGGGGAGACACTGTTTTGTAGCTGTGTGCAGTGGCTAGCTTAGGAAAGAGGTAGGGGTTGCAAATAACTCATTTTCTCCCCTGATGTTGTTATTGCAAGAGCAGAGTTGGTTTCTGTGTCCTGGAATGGGTGTATAGACAGGGACTAACCAAGGCAGAGCTGTGGAGAATCTGAAGGTGAGCCACTATGTACTTGCACTGAAATGTAGAAATCAGATAGAAATGCAAATGGATATAGATGTGGTTGGTATACTGGCAAACTCCAATACCAGGAGCGGCATTATCATGAGCGACACAGATTTATTCACAAAATGGTGAACAACTCTTGGTAAAGTTCCGAACAAAGCAAACTGCTTTCTTCACTTTACATGGTAGTTGCATCTATGAAAAAATTCAGCTTATTTTCAAATTACGCCCCCAAAAGTACTTTGCGTTTATATGTAAAATGGAGTTGTTAATTATCAATAGGTTGCCTTTTTTTTAATCGTGTAATTGTCTGCCATGTCCTATATGCCATGGTATGTGGGGCAAATATTTTAACTTTTTATTTGCAAATTTTAAACTTACAAAAAATTGTAAGAGTAATACAAAAAGCATCTATAGGCTCTGCCTAGATTTGCCAGGTGTCATCATTTTGACCCTTTTGTTTTGCTTTCTCATTTATCTACAGTCACACTTTTTTTTTTTTTTTTTTTTTTTTTTTACCCATTTGGGAGTTTGTGGCATATACTATTGCCTTTAAACTGACTGCTTTGGTGTAGACTACCCGACATTTCTTAAGAAGCGAGTCCCTTTTTTTAATAGAATATTCTTTTGGGGTTTGTTTTATATTTCTTCATAATTAGATTCAAAAGGCTCCCCGGCCAGAATATTGTCAGGGATATTGTGTCCTTTTCAGGACGACTTCTCATCTGGAGACACCTGATGTCCCTCTGCCCTCACTGCTGAGGTCAACTTTGATCATCCAGTCAAATGTGTCTGATCTTTCCACTGTAGAGTTACTGTTTATCTCCCTTGTGACTAATGGGCAATTTGTGGGGAGATACTTTAATATCATGCCAGTGTCCTGCTGCTTATCAAGAGTTTCCCCCTAAGATTTAGTATCCATTCAGCTTCTTGTCTGAATCTTTAATATAATGTTTGCAAAACAATGGTTTTCCAATTCTATTAATACCTCCACATTTCGTGATTAGTACTCAGTATTCTAATGTAAGCAGGAGCCCTCCCTTTTCTCCCATTTCTTTCTTTCTCTGTTTATTATCAGTATGGTCTTGTGGGTTGTGGATTCCTCTTTTACTTTTAATGATTCATTACCATCCTTGTTATTTTAGTGGTCAAATTGTTTCAGAGTTGGCTGGTAGAAGCCCTTTCAACCTGAGTCCCAATGTTCCATCCTGTATCTTCCTGCTCTATCCCTGGAATCAATTATTTCTCCAAGGAGTCCTGCTTCCTTTTAATAAGGAATGGTGTTAGAAACCAAGATCTGTGCACTACTTGTCCTCTTGCTACTATGGGATTTTGCTTCTTGGTCTATTCAGTAGATAGAGCTGGGAAAAATAAAGGTACGTATACACATAAACACATGCACATACATGCATATAAGCTTACATATTACATTACAAATAATTAACTCATGCTAAAACCTCTAATTCCAGTTCATACCCGGAGGGTTCTTCCTTGCCTTCCTCTAGTCCATATTTGTATCAGCCTTCTATACTGAAAACTCTGGCCCCCAACAGGGACAGTGTTTTAATGTGTTGTACAGTCTCTGCGTTGCAGGTTTTCTAATTTTCTTGTCTGCTGATCACCCACTACTCCCTGTAGTCATTGTGAGAGTCAAAAAAAAAAAAAAAATACCCCCATATTTCTTTAGAAAATGGGCATTTATGCCATCTGGGGCCAATAGTGCTCTTTTTGGGAACAACCATTCCAATGATGAAACCAACATGGACTCCATGAATTATATTGCAAGGTTGTTATGATATGCCAGGAAAGCTATTCAGCTATTAACACTTTCCTAGGTACGAAGGGAAATTTAGAAAAGACAATTGTATTTGGTGCCTTGGTATAGGATGTAGTAAGCCCTGAGTATTAGGGGACAAAATTATGGAACCTTTGTCATAGATTCCTGAATAAGCAGAAGCTATTTGCCAGAGAATGAGAATTATAAGTCTGCAACAAATGTAGGTAATTGTCTTCTCTCTCTTAAGATTAGTATACTTGGAAAGTAGTAACGGCTACCATTTACTGAATGGTACTCTGCCTAGAATATCCTCTGTACGTCTTGGATCCCTATCCAGCCAGAATTGATTTTTTTTCCTCACCCTGTATTCTTACAGCACTTTGTGTCTTTGTTGTGTCGTTTGATGTGGTGAAAAGTCTGCACTTTCAGGACACATCTGGATGTGAGCCCAAGCTCTGACAGCTTTCAGAAACTGTTATTTAACCCACGTTCTTGTTGCCATAAATTAGGGAGGATTATAAAGCCTGCTTCAGTTAACACTCTGACATATAATAGGTGCTCCCGAAATAGGTGAAATGAATGAATCCCTAGCCTCTTGATTCTACACTGTATAGATTAGGCCATGAAATGAGATAGGGTTTTAAAACTCCAACTGCTCTAAAGGAAAAGAGCCTATCTGAGACAGTATTTTTTTTCCTTCTACGTAACAAAATGTAATTAAAACTTTCGCGCATGTTTTCCCTAACTCTTGAGCGTTTGGGTTGAGATGTGGGTCCTCAGAATTGAGGCACTGCGCCCAGGGCTGCATCCCGAGGATCGTACAGTAGGTGGCAGCGCCGCCTCTGCGGAGACCGCCACGCAGCCTTTGGAACTGGGCATTTGGGTGCGGACCTTTCGGGAAGCCTCCTCCGTACGTGCGTGCACGCGCGCGCGCGCGCGCGGAGTCCTGCCCTTAGCATGTGGAGCGCTGTGATTGGGCGCTGGGACCTGGTGCGGGCTCGTTGATTGGGGGAGGGAGGAGGGGCGATATGAGGCATTTACTCCGCGCGTCTTCATTGGAGGGCGTGGGGTGGAGTGGAGCTGGGTGGGAGAGGTAAGGTTCCTGGGTGGGTGTAGGGCTTTGGCTTCCATCTGCTTACGTGATTTCGCCTCCACGCGGGTTACTTGCTGATGAGAGATGTTCGGTGCTTGCTCTGACGGGCGTGAGGCTCTAGTGCCTCCTGTTCAGTCTCAGTTGTTTTCTATTAGAGCCTTGGGGGCGCCCTAATGGGGATCTGTCCAGCCCCGGTAGGAGGGTAATTTATTACTACGGAGGTCTTGATTAAAACCGCGGGTGCTATTTGGTACCTACACTGCAGTTTAGGGATCAAGCAGGGTATGAATGCAAGTCAGGTGTTGTGGCAAAAGAGTCGAAAGGCAGCCTTCATTCGTTACTAGTTCTGTGCTGAGCACTTAAGACGCACCATCCCATATAATGCACACAACAGCCAGCTAATGCAGCTGCTGCTTATAGATGAGGAAACTGAGGCCATATTTTGACATTTACTTGAGCCCATTTCCTTTATGCTGAAAAATAGCTTTCTCGGTGATATCTGTAGTAGTGTCTTCCCTCGCACTGAACAGTGGATTTCTTGCTTTAAAAAAAAATACATTTTGGGGTGCCTGGGTGGCTCAGTCGGTTAAGCCTCCGACCTTGGCCCAGTTCGTGAGTTCGAGCCCCGAGTGGGGGCTCTCTGCTGACAAGCTCGGAGCCCGGAGCCTGCTTTGGATTCTGTGTGTGTGTGTCTCTCTCTCTGCCTCTCCCCTGCTCACACTGTCTCTCTCTCAAAAAACTAAATAAATAAATAAACATTAAAAGTTAAAAAATACCTTTTGGTTGCAGTATAATGTATACTGGAAAAGTCCATAAATCATAATGTTTAAATTGGTATACTATCACAAGGTGGACAAATCTATGTAAGAAATAAAACATTCCTTCCCCTCAAGAAGTCCTAATACTGGCTCCCATTAGCAGCTCATGGCTAATATTTACTTCATCTCTAATTCTGATTGTACCATGCTGATCCTTTGGTTTATTTTGAGGCAAATCCCAGATAGTATCTAATTTCATCCATAAA